CTCTCATCACGTGTCTCTCGTGTCTCTCATCACGTGTCTCTCATCTCTCACGTGTCTCTCGTGTCTCACGTGTCTCTCGTGTGTCACGTGTCTCACGTGTCTCTCGTGTCTCTCATCACGTGTCTCTCGTGTCTCTCATCACGCGTCTCTCATCACGTGTCTCTCGTGTCTCTCATCACGTGTCTCTCATCTCTCACGTGTCTCTCGTGTCTCACGTGTCTCTCGTGTGTCACGTGTCTCACGTGTCTCTCGTGTCTCTCATCACGTGTCTCTCGTGTCTCTCATCACGTGTCTCTCGTGTCTCTCGTCACGTGTCTCTCGTGTCTCTCGTCACGTGTCTCTCATCACGTGTCTCTCGTGTCTCTCGTCACGTGTCTCTCATCACGTGTCTCTCGTGTCTCTCATCACGTGTCTCTCGTGTGTCACGTGTCTCACGTGTCTCTCGTGTCTCTCATCACGTGTCTCTCGTGTCTCTCATCACGTGTCTCTCGTCACGTGTCTCTCGTGTCTCTCATCACGTGTCTCTCGTGTCTCTCGTCACGTGTCTCTCGTGTCTCTCATCACGTGTCTCTCATCACGTGTCTCTCGTGTCTCTCATCACGTGTCTCTCATCACGTGTCTCTCATCACGTGTCTCTCGTGTCTCTCATCACGTGTCTCTCATCACGTGTCTCTCGTGTCTCTCATCACGTGTCTCTCATCACGTGTCTCTCGTCACGTGTCTCTCGTGTCTCTCATCACGTGTCTCTCGTCACGTGTCTCTCGTCACGTGTCTCTCGTGTCTCTCGTCACGTGTCTCTCATCACGTGTCTCTCGTGTCTCTCATGTCTCTCATCACGTGTCTCTCGTCACGTGTCTCTCATCACGTGTCTCTCATCACGTGTCTCTCGTGTCTCTCATCACGTGTCTCTCATCACGTGTCTCTCGTGTCTCTCATCACGTGTCTCTCGTGTCTCTCATCACGTGTCTCTCGTGTCTCTCATGTCTCTCATCACGTGTCTCTCGTGTCTCTCATCACGTGTCTCTCGTGTCTCTCATCACGTGTCTCTCATCACGTGTCTCTCGTCACGTGTCTCTCGTGTCTCTCGTCTCGTGTCTCTCATCACGTGTCTCTCATCACGTGTCTCTCATCACGTGTCTCTCGTGTCTCTCATCACGTGTCTCTCGTGTCTCTCATCACGCGTCTCTCATCACGTGTCTCACGTGTCTCTCGTGTCTCTCATTACGTGTCTCTCGTGTCTCTCATCACGTGTCTCTCATCACGTGTCTCTCATCACGTGTCTCTCGTGTCTCTCGTCACGTGTCTCTCATCACGTGTCTCTCGTCACGTGTCTCTCATCACGTGTCTCTCATCACGTGTCTCTCGTGTCTCTCGTCACGTGTCTCTCATCACGTGTCTAACTGACTGTGACGACCCCCGTCTGAGTGAAGTCTCTCTGACTGTCACAACCCCCGTCTGAGTGAAGTCTCTCTGACTGTCACAACCACCGTCTGAGTGAACTCTCTCTGACTGTCACAACCACCGTCTGAGTGAAGTCTCTCTGACTGTCACAACCACCGTCTGAGTGAACTCTCTCTGACTGTCACAACCACCGTCTGAGTGAAGTCTCTCTCACCGTGACGACCCCCGTCTGAGTGAACTTTTCGGGCACTGCCGTCATAATTCTGGCCTGGTGGCTTCATGGGGGGCCGGGGTTTGTGTCGATGCACCCTGAAGATGAGTGTATGGGTGACTGGAGCTGGGTAGATATCTTCAAATGGGCTGTGGGCTGCGGTCTTTGCTGAAGCACCTCTGAGGTCCTGGGTTCGAACGTCGGTGCCTTCGTGTTCTCATGCTTGCTGATGGCTGCGCTGGGGAGGCTAAGTCTGGGGCGTCCAGGTTCTGAGTTTAATTTCTACGTAGGGCCCAGCGTAAAATGATTGAAATTTCCAAGACCATCCCCCGCACCCCCACCGCCAGATCCGCCTCCGTGGCAGCCTGTGTCTGACTTTGGGGCCAGCAACTTTAGGCACATAGGTTCAGTTCCTGTTGCTGGTTGCACCTCACTGGGCTGCGACTGAGCCATTCTAACTGAACTGATCGGTTCAAGCTCTGAGGACTTGAACTCCGAACCCCAGTCTAATGCACATAGCATTGTATGCAGAGACTCACTCACACATGATTCTTGATATAATAACATATAGCATTGTTTCTTTTTGGTTTTTCGGTAAAGTCACGCAGGTAAAATAAAATAAATGAAAAACAACTAAATTAAATCGCGACGTTTCGGAGGCAACACAAGGTTCCGTCTTCAGGTGGAACAGACACAGCAAAATTAGCTGTATCAAGTGAACAGCTCTGGACACACGAGATTATATACAGGTTAAGGGGGGGGGAGGAGCCAGGAAGGGAGGGTTGAGTTAAGCTTCAAATCTAGAATATAGCATTGTGTTATATTGCTTAAATGAGCATATGGGGCTTCTTCCATCAGATTACCGTCAGGTTTTATTAGTAGCTACGAGGTTTAAACGTGTAACCTTAACAGCAGGCTTTAAACTTAGGGCTGACATTAAACCGTGGGTCATTGTTGCAAAGCTACATTGCCCAGAATAGAAATCGCTTCCATGTGACTTGAAGTCATTAGCACAGAGTGTTAAGTGTAAAAATAATTGTATTAAAAAAAAGATAAACGAATGGTCATTAGTCTGGCTTCATAAGGTGCAGCGGCAGACCAGTGCTGTTAGCAAGCACCTGTTAAGGCCGGCGATGCACGTGACCTGGGAGGCGTGGCCAGCACCACGGCCAGCCACCTTTATCTCTCCAGCGCTGGTGTTTAGGCAGATTTGACCTCAGCAGAGGTCATGGACAGGTTGAGATACCACTCGGTTGACGTTGTGCACATCCACAAATCGAACCCAGGTCACGGAGGTCATAGAGTAGTGCGCTAACAGCTGCACCACTGCTCCTCATACATTCGGGAAGATTTTTTTCATTTGCAAACTTGGGATGCAAAAAAAAATCCGATTTTTTTTTTAGGACAATTTTGGGTCCTTCATTAGATTTAAGGACCATTTTCAGATTTTTAAGAATAAGTTTGTTTTTTTTAATCAGATTTATGGACCGTGTGCGTGACGTGATTAGTTAACACATCTTTCGTTGTGCTCACGAAAATGACCTCGCCCGATGCCACGAGAGGGCACGGGACTCAAGTCATGTGACCTCCTCTCCTGTGATGTCATACACATCCGAAATACGTATTTATAACAACACGTATATCTGTTTCGCCACGTAAAATATAAAAGTATTTCTTATATAACCCAGCAGCCACCACAGCCTCTTGGGAGTGCGTCATTGACCAGTTTGGACATCCAGTGTCTCATCATGAATAATACGCGCACACACATATAGAGTGGGTGTAGGGCATATGGACGATATATGGAAGGATATATGTTTTAAAGTTGTAGTGTAGTTATAGGTTATACAGATCGATCTATATATATGGGTTTTATATATATGGCAGTACGGCACGTGAGGGGAGGTGATGCAGCTATCCTTGTCTCCTTCAATGCTAATGGCTACTTTTCATCAGGTATTAATTTAAGGCTGAGTAGAACTAGGGGAGATACAGGGCGGGGTCAGATGCCACACACATGTCCGGAAATCAAAACCCAGGGATCCACAAAAGCAGTGCGCAAACCTCTGTGCAACCGCTCCAAAGAGAACTGACTTGGGGAAAGCGCTGTTAGCGAGCACCCGCTGTTAGCGAGCACCTGCTGTTAGCGAGCACCTATGAAGGATGGCACAGAACACGAGGGGCTGGGTGGGCCAGCACCACGCCTGGTAGGCTTTGTCTCACGTCTTTTTACGCACACATATATAGGCGATTTTCGTTGTTTAAGAGCCAAAGATACAGCAGGAATGTCAGCGAAAGGGCGAGAGACTGCGTGCTTAACACGTAGGCTTTCACGACCAATATCATCGATAATATTGTTTTTTTGGGTTATATTGCATAAATGCCACGTGCGTTTAAGCCGAGTCCGGTTACAGTCAACCTGCTCAACTGACCAATGGCGTGACGCTCATCTCCATTGGTGGCACCAAGCCGATGGTGGAAATTCCACATTCCTATGGCGGTGGAGGGGGGGGGGGGCAAGGGGAAGCAAAATCTTCATGGGATGGACTTAAGTGTTGACTTCCCAGAAAGTGTTTACTCAGTTTATCAACATCGGCTCAGCCGACCCCTGAATGGGAATTTAACTTGCATGCTTCCCGTTGTGAGTCAAAGTATTCAAAAGCACAGATAACAACAACAGACAACAACACACCCAACACATCCGCCACAAGGTCTCCCCGCCATCGGTCGAGTTTAATGTGGAAAGTGTTAAGGTCGGACCCCTGGAGAGGAAGGCCTCGCATTGTGAACTTCAACAACTTACTCACCCTGCGTGGCTAAATAAAGGACACCGGATTTACGTTGCCGCGTGTCGACTACGCCTTAGTCTGGATTATAATACCAATCCCAATACCCGCCATTCACCCCTGCGACGCGTCACCACGGGGCCCGTGCCAGGCCGGGTGCACCTTGAGGCCACGTGAAGTGTCGAAGGCTCGCTGGCAGGAGGTCACGGGACAGACTCCAGCAAGGTGCCACGGGGTTGGCTGAGATCACGAGCAGATGCACCAGCTGTGCCCCCCATACTGTGCCAACTTTTGCTGCGTGAGGATTATAATAAGCACATATTCCCACCTGTGTTCGAAAGCAGAAGTCGAGTGCGCATCTTTGACGTGTGCGTGTGTGTGGGTTCAACCGAGACCCGTGCAAAATTAGAATTGGTTTTATCCCTTTCTGGCAAATACAGCAGGTGTTAAGATGTTCAAACACCACAAATACCCGTTGCAAGGAATCGAAGTCTGCATTAACCACACGTGCTTGTGGTAAACATGTACACAAACATGCTCTGATCATTATATATATGGCCATTGTCTTTGAAACTGATTGGCGTACACTAGTTGTTACCAGT